TAAACTCCATTTTGAAGTAATTTCAGACTTAGAAAAATAAGGTAGGAAAGCCCTACAAAATTTCTTCCTGGATTCCCCAAATGTTAACATTTTTCCACATCTGCTTTTCTTTCTCAGGTTCAATTCATGCTTGGAATATGGCTCTGGATTGTCATTGTCTCTCTCTTTCTCTACTTTGTTTTGTACTGAGGATTGAACTCACAACCTCAAGCTTGCCAGGCAGGTGCTTATGCCACCAAGCTAAATCCCTGGCCCCTCCACTTTGCTTTTTGAGACAAGGTTTCACTAAATGGCCCAGGCTGGCTTCAAACACATGAGCCTGTCTCTGCCTTCTGGAGTACTGGAATTACAAACATATACCACACCCAGCTCTGTCTCCATGTCAGTTGTATTAATTAAGTTTATTTGTACAATTTAGGCATACACGATGATCACATTCATCATAGAGGATTTTTCATTCTCCTCCCCTCCAACCCTCTTCCCTCATAAAAGCTTTGTTTCTGGGCTGGGGATTTAGCTCAGCGGCATAAGCGCTTGCCTTGCAGGCAGGCAGTCGTGAGTTCGATCCCCGGTACCGATAAAAAGGAAAAAGACAAAAAAAAAAAAAAAAAAAAAAGCTTTGTTTCTATTTTGCAATCTTTTCTCACTTTTCCTTTGTCTTCCTTTCCCCCTCTCCCCTGCCTTGTTCCCTTCCCATTTGAATATTTTCCTTCTATTTCACATCACCTATTGGACATTTTAGTCCTTGCAGTATTTACACATTTCACTTTGTTTTTTTTTTTCTGAATTGGTAGACTCAGTTGTAAAGATGACATCCTTTTATTTTATAAAAGAACTTTCTGTTTCATAACCAATGTAATGATCAAAGTTGATACAAAATCATTTGCCATTCTGGATGTTGAACCCAGGGCCTTTGCACTGAAATACTTTCACAGCACTCCCCCACCACCACCATCATGCACACCTTAATCTTTAAATTTTTAGGCAGGGTCTTGCTAAGTCTCTAAGTTGCTCTGACTGGGCTCAAACTTGTGATCCTCCTGTCTTATCCTCCCAGAGTGCACAGATTACAGGTATGCATCACCACGTCTAGCTTTATTTAACCTTTAAACAACCTGCCATTATCAAAATCAGAGTGTTCCTTGTTTTTTGTTTTGTTTTGTTTTTGCTTTTTTGAGACAAGGTCTTACTATGTAGTTCAGGCTGGCCTTGAACTTACCATGTAGCTGAGGACCAGCCTCGAACTCACAGAGATCCTCCCACCTCAGCCTCCTGAGTGCTGGGATTATAGCCATATACCACCATGCCCGGCTTCCAAATGTTAGCACTGATACACAGCATTGTCTCTACTTCACAGGCCTAGTTTGGATTTCACTTGCTGTCCTCCTAACATGGAGTACGTGTCAACCATATTATAGCTGACATCTCTGCTACCGCCCTCAGTGACTCACAGATTCTCTCTGTTTTAGTAGTGAATGAACTAAGGTTTAGAGAGATTATGCAATTTGCCTGCAGTCACACAGATGGCAAACGACACAGCTGGAATTCCAACTCCAGTGTGCCTCCCCTGAAGCCCTTGGTTTTTAAGGCCAGACTAGAATTGCAGTGCTTGGAAAGGGCTTCCCAGTGCAAGTAAAGGGATGAAAAGAACAAGAAGGAAAGCTAGCAACTCACCCTTTCCTGGCTCCTCAAGGAAGTGTCAAGTGCCAAAAGAGGAATAAGCAAATGGAATTTTAGCTATTTTGTTATATAACATACACCTTTTTTTAAAACAGGAAGGTACCTCAATTACAATGGTTACTATTTTGACTTTCAAAAAAGTAACTTTAAAAACTCAGATACAGAAGGCAACACAAAAATAAACAGCTCAGTGGGTTACATTATGGCAAACATTCTTATAACCACCCTGAGCCTCAAGGCACCTCTCCTCTTTTAAAGCACCTCTCCTAACCACACCCCCAGTAAGTAAGCAGTGTTTGCTGACTTGTATTATCATCACTCTCAGCATTTAAAAATCAAATTATGATTTTTAAGACGGTTCAAAATTCTAAAACAAGGGAAAATGTATTCTGACACATTAAAATTCCAAGGAAGACTGAACATTACACATTCACTGTAACACAGCTGAGGGATCCAGCCCAGCTCCGCGTATGGCTGACAGCTGAAGCAGTGTCGCCAAACAGCAGGTGAAGGCTCAAGGACTAAGAGAAGACATCCAGGACTGGGGATGGTGTCCTCCCTAACCTGACTTACTAGGGTTTTTGCTAAGTCAGGTGACACAAGGCCCAGCAAGGACAGGATCAACCAGGAAGACTGAATTTGAGGCCTAGTTGAGAAGAGGTCTCATGGTGTTACAGGGAAAGAACCTCCAACCTGTTAGAAGTGTAAAGTTTGTGTCTCAGGATACAGAAGACTAGAGTCAAGGACTGGAGTCAAGAAGAGTAAGAAAGATTTTATTAAGAGGAAACTCCTGAGAAGCAGGCGGGGTTCTGAAAGTGGGTTGCTGCTTTTGGTCTAGGGGGGTTACAGTTACCTTAGGTCAAGCTGTAATCAACCTAGAGGATTACATTGAGTTAGCCAATATTGATTTAGTAGAGAAACAAGGTATGCAGCACCACTGTAGGAAGAACAAAGGCATTCCTGGGAGAGGTAGAAGCAAGGGTTAGAGTGTCCAGGTCATCAGACTCCGAGTGCATTATGTTATTTCTTCATGGTGTTACATAGTTCAGGCTTCCTGGACTAAATGGTGCTAATTACAATACAGCTTTGGGCTACTATGTATCTCTGGAAAGTCCAGTATGCGTTGCCATCACCATCCTGTCTCCATCTTGGGCCTAGTTTCTATCCACTTAGCCTTGACTGCAGGCCTGGTTTGCCTCGTCTCCATTTAGACTCTATTCTAGGCCTAGTACTTTCTAACTCCCTATCAAACTCTCCCTCTACCTGCAATAATAGGAACTGAACTAAAATCCAGATGAGGGAGGAATATTTGTAAATAATATAATTTAACCACACGTTTAGTTTTCCTTTTTGGGGCGGAGGGGAACAAGGTCTTTCTATGTAGTTCTGGTTGGCCTCGAACTCATAGTGGTCCTCCCACATCAGTCTCCGGATTATAGGCATGTGCCACCATACTTGGCTTCATGTTTATTTTTCAAACTAAATTGACCAAAAAAATCTAAAATGACTTAATTTTATGGTGTCAATAAAGCTGGAAAATTTTAACTTCACATATTTAAGTGCAAGCTCCCTAAAGTTTCGTTCCTTTGTTTTTATTAAAGCTGAAAAGTGTACAGGGGAAGATAGTGGGATTTTCAGAGTGCAAGGTATCAGTCGGATAAAAGTGTTAATTGTAGACTAAGATCTGGTCATTGCTGGAGGCCCTGAACAAGTTAACTGACAAAGTGAAAATACTACAATTTCATGTTCCTTTGACAGATCTGCCTGCAGCACAATGTTGAGAGGATCAAATACCAAACCGAAAGGTGGGAGGTGTTGCTGCTCTTATCCATTCAAAACTATCATGAAATAAAAACTGCAGAAGCCGGCACTCTGGGGTCTGGTATTCGGAATAACCGTGCCACAGCTGAGTCACATTTACAATGTAGAGAGCAGCCATTCTTAAACTGCAGTGTGCATCGGAATCACATAACCACTGTTCTCCATCCCTAGAATTTCTGACTCAGGGTTTCCAGAATGAGGCTCCAATATTAGCAGCTCTAACAAGTTTCAGGTGGTGCAGATTCGGCTGTGCTATGGACCACACTTCGCGAAATCCTGCTTTGGAAATGTATGAGGTTAGGCATCTGCCTAGCGCGGCTGGGCTTAGCTATTGTCAGCTCCCCGCCGCAGCGCTCTGCCAGCCATGGAGGAGGAGCCCCTCGTCCTGAGCGCGTTATCAAGAGGCTGACTGCTGGGCCTCCCTCCTACCTCCACTCCTAAAGGTTGCCCCTCCCGCAGACGACGGCAGAAGCGAAACAACACTACGTAGCAGTCACGGGGCAGCACGTGACTCAGGCCCCGGAGTCCCCAGAGCGCGCCGCGCAGGGAAGGGCGTCCCCACAGGCCGAGGCCGGGGCCGGGGCCGGAGCCGGGGAGGGGCGGGGCGGGGCGGGGCCGGACCAGGTGGGGCGGGCGGGGCCAGGCGCGGGTCCTCAGCCCTGGGAGGCCGAGCGGCTACCCCGCGCCCACTGCGGAGAGCGGATGCTGGAGGATGGTCGCCTGGCGGGTCGCGGTGCACGCCCTCGCTCTGCTCTTGCTGCTGGGCTCTGCGCACGGCCTCCGCGTAAGTGCGCGGGCCTCCGCGCGGGGCCGCTCTGGGAGCGCCGGGTGGCGCGCTGTGCCGCGCCCCGCTGCGGCCCCGCGGGGTGGGCGTCGGGGACCCGGCGCGCTGGAGCCCGCAGGCGGCGGCGGCAGCGGCACAGGCAGTGGCCCGGGCGTCCCGTCGGGGCGGGGCGCGGCGCTGGGACGCTGTCCCGCGTTCGGGGCTGGCCAACCGTTGCGCGTGACTCCTCTGCCCTCTTGTGCGGCGAGGTGGGAAGATGAGATGCGCCTGACCCGTCGCGGCTCTGGTTTTCCGGGAGGGGTTCAGGTTGCGCCGCGGCTGGGGGCGCCCGCGGGCTCCAGTGTGCGCTCTGCGGAGCGCTCCGGAAGGGCAGAAACGCGGTCAGCTGAGGCTCGGCGGTGGGCACTTGGGTTAGTTTCCTCTGGGGTGATCTTTTTCCAACGTCTCTTCCCCCTCTCGCCAGGCTCCTATTTTTTCGTTTTTGGTTTCGGCTTTTCTTCGCAGTTTAATGCGCGGGCCTCCTGGGCCACTGCCTTTTCTTCAGGGGTCGCGGGCCAGATGAAGGGTGGCCGGAGATGAGCAGCAGGTGGGCGCCAGCGCCTGGGGAGCGCGGTCTGGGCGAGGCGCGGGCCGTGCACCTGGCGGGGGCGGCTTGCACCTGCGGAACAAGCAGGCGGGACGCGGTCGGACGTGGCAGTTGTCCCCCCCCCCCCCAGCATATCCAGCACATGAACTTTGTTTCCTCCAGAAACAAAGTCTGACTTTCCTCCAGAAACGGTCTGACTCTGTGGCATGTTTTATGTACAAGTTGATTTATAAAGTACACCTGTAGGTGAAAGGCCCTCAGTACCCATGACAAAATCTAAACCGAGTCGGACGAGAACAGAACCAAAATCAGTAGTTAGTTCAGGATGGGGAAATTTGATTCGGTTGTCGTCCAACTCAGTTTGCGGCCAGAATTGTGGAAAAAATTAAACTCGTGAACCGAGGCACCACTGTATTTGGAAAGCTGCTGCTGAAAGTGTTTTTTATTTGAGGGTAAAGGACATTTCCCCTTCTTGCCTTTGTCATTCACCTGCCCGCATTTTTTAATTGTTTTTTGTTTTTGTTTTTTAAGAGAAGTTTTTCTTGTTTGGGAGGCCTGGCAGAGGCCTGGGGTCCAAGCTATCCAGCTGTGAGAGTCACTGGTGAAGACAAATTCAGCAGGGTAAGGGGTTGAAGGGAAGAAAGATCTTAGCATTTATCTAAGGGTGAAACAGAGAAGATTTATGGAGGAGGAGCAGGTCCTCGGAGCAGCCCTCTGGGTGTTAGGTGCCAGTCTCGTTTGCCATTTTTAGATGGGTGGGAGGCTGTCGAGGCTCACAAGGGGAGGCAGTCACCCCAGAAGTTCTCAAGGTGTCTCAAAGACCCTCCTGAGCCAGAAGCTGAAGAAAGATAATCATTAGTTTCTTGTTAGAATTTTAGAACAGTGTTTCTCATCTTTAACTGCCCTAAACAAAATTTTAAAATATCAATTTCTTTAAGAGGTAATAAAACTATTTACATGTTAGTGAACAATGTATTTTAGTGAAAAATAACATATTTCTCCAACAGTTCTCCTCTGGAGTTGCAGTGTTTTACATTTTGTGTATGTCTTAATAGAAGACAGAGTTTTGTATCCACTTCTGCATTCAGTCTCTTGTCAGATCACATCTCAGGAACCCTCTGGAAAAGTCTGCTGTAAGCTTAGGAGGGAGTGAGAATGGAAAAAGAACGCTAGCTCAGTGTTATTAGGAAAATAGTTGTGACTACCTGGACCTCTAAGAGGGTCTCCTGGATCACATATTGAGAACCACTGATGTAGAATAACCACTGATGTAGATGTTTTTCTTATTATAAAAAAAAATTAGCTCATTGTGGAGAAACTTTAAACACATAGCTCACCATAAGAAAAATTGTAGCAAGTGTGGTGGTGTATCCCTGTAATTCCAGCACTTTGGGAGACTGAGGCAGGAGAATCACAAGTTCAAGCTTAGGCTGGGCAACTTAGTGAAACTGTCTCAAAATAGAAAAAAAATTACATACAAAAAAAGGATTGGGAATGTAGGTCAGTACAAAGGACCTGGGTTCAATCCCCACTACCACACACACACGCAAGAGAAAAAAAAAAATTGTGTGTCATGTCACATTTCCTAATAGAGCATAGGATGTGACTGATATTTGAGTGGCTTGGATTCTAGGTGGGTTGGGCAGATGTAAGCAGCCTTCGGGTTTTGAATGCGGACCGAGATGCTGTTATCCCACAAAGCTGACACCGGTTCCTGGTTGCAGGTGGAGCTGACCTGGAAGCCCACTGTTGGCCACTTTTTCTAAGGAACTCACCTTCCACAACCCAGCTCCACAGAACTGGCAGGGACTCTTCTAGGAGCAGAGGAAATGACGTTCTTCAGGCAACTGTCCCTGGCCTCAAAGGCTACCTTGGCTGCAGTCACTGTCTTCGTGTCTATGATCATCTCCCGTTCCTATCTGGCAGAGACCCTTGAGCTGAGGGCCTGGCGATGGCTGTTTCGCCTGCAGCTCGCCCTGTTTGTTAACTCACTTATGCTCATTGGCTCCCTCTACATCTGGCATAGCACAGTAAGCAACCTCAGTCACTCCCAGGCCGGGCAGTCTACCTGTTTCCGGCTTTGGAAACTGGCTGTTAGCATATTTCTGGCACTGGCCCATTCCAGTTTCTTCACCATGCTGTTTTTGGTGGCCGAGGAGCCCTATCTCTTTTCCATGGCAGCCTACTCCTGTCTGGGTGCTTATGTCATCATGCTATTCTTCCTCTGCATCCTCAGTGGGATGGAGCAGGCCTACCAACTCTTGGCCTGGCACCGTGGTAGGGTGGTTGGCAGCCTCAACAAGTCACAGAAGCTGGTTCTCAGGCCCGCTCTGGCTGTGGTGGTGACTGTGGTGCTCAGTGTGATGGGCTTCCTGAATGCTGCTCAGTCCCCAGCTGTGAAAACTGTGATGGTGCCCATCCATCAGCTGCCTCCTTCTATGAACAGCCTCAAGATTGTGCTTCTCTCAGACATCCACTTGGGGCCTACAGTGGGCAAGACAAAGATGCAGCTGTTTGTGAGGATGGTGAATGCTCTGGAACCAGACATCACAGTGATTGTGGGTGACCTCTCTGATTCAGAAGCCTCTGTCCTGCGGACAGCTGTCGCTCCTTTGGGCCAGCTTCATTCACGCCTTGGCACCTACTTTGTCACAGGCAATCATGAGTACTACACATCAGATGTCAGCAACTGGTTTGCCCTGCTGGAATCCCTGCATGTCCGGCCTCTTCACAATGAGAAAGTAAAGATTTCTGCAACAGGGGCTCAAGATGGTGGTGGTGCAGGGGAAGGTGATGACTGGATCTGCTTGGCTGGGGTGGATGATATTGAAGCAGACATCCTACACTACTCTGACCATGGCATGGACCTCAGCAAGGCCCTGGAAGGCTGCAACCCAGACCACACTACCATCTTGCTAGCACACCAACCCCTGGCTGCCAAGAGAGCTCTTCAGGAGCGACCAGATATTAATTTGATCCTTTCAGGGCACACACATGCTGGGCAGCTCTTTCCCTGGAATGTGGCAGCTTATCTCCTGAACCCTTTCTTTGCAGGTCTCTACCAAGTGGCTGAGGCTACATTTGTGTATGTCAGCCCAGGCACAGCCTACTATGGGATACCCATGCGGCTGGGGAGCAGGGCAGAGATCACAGAGCTCATTCTGCAGTGCGCTCCCTGAGCCAGCACTGCCCCAGCCTCCACCTTCCATCCCTCTTCAGAGTGACTTGCCTGCTGTACCCTTCCAGTCTCTCCTCCCCAGCCCTACTGATACTCCCTTGATCCCAAAGTCTGATGTGAACAATGGGGACACCAAGGTCGCATATAAGAGAATATACATCTGTTGCCCAGTGAGTGTGGAGTGAGGCATCCTGCAGAGTTGGGGAGGAAATGCAGCATTGGATTGCTGCAAAGGGACACCTCCAGGGTGCAGGGTCAGGAAAGGACAGGAGTGTTTACCTCTTAAACCCTTATTAAGACTTTGGTGATCCAGCGCCTTTCTGGGCAAGGAGTGATGTTTCCAGTTAATTTGGGAGGAAAAATAAGATGAGAAGCCCCGTCTGCTGCTGGAGGGTAGTATATTGTTTTTCTCCTTGCTTCTGTTGGAGTTTCTTCTATGGAGGACATCAACAAAACTTACTTGAACACGAGGCTTTTCCTGTCTGGACCTTGAGTGGTGCAGTTTAGCTGGGCCACTGAGCTGCGGGGCTAGACTGGGCTTGGCATGAGAAAAATAATGAGCACTTTGGCAGGGGGTGGTAATAATGCTGCTGTGAAACTTGGCAGTTTGCCTCCCTTCTCATTTTCTGTAACATTTGGGTGAGAAAATTAGGGATGCTTCCCTGTTTAGAGATGAAAAAATGAAAGCAGAAGTAAGAGACTGGCAACAGGACAAAATACGTTGGAGTGCAGGACTGTAGGTCCGATCAAGACTTGTCTAGGATGTATGAGGCTCTGGGCTTGATTCCCTAGAGCCTTAAACAAAACAAAATTAAAAACTCAAAAGCTATTTTGGCGATTTTCAGCTAGAATCCAGGTCTTCTACGTCTTGCTGAAAGTTCTTTCCATCCTGGTGGTTAAATAGTTTTACTAGTTGCAGATAGGTTCAGTATTCCACTGCATTAACCACAAAAAAAGAGCAAATGAGGCTGTAGAGCAGTGACAGCAAACCCTTTAGAGCATTCAGTGATAACAGCCTGTTGTGGCACGTGTGCCATAGGTTTGCTGCCACTGCCCTAGAATCTATTGTTTCTTCGAAATGTCAGCTTACAGGGGCTGGGGATTTAGCTCAGTGGCATAAGTGCCTGCCTTGCAAGTGTGCGGTCATGAGTTCAATTCCTGGTACTGATAAAAAGACAACAACAACAAAAAAATGATAGAAAAAAAATGTCAGCTTGCAGCTGACTTCAGTTTACCCATAGGTGCATGCAGCAGAGCCTAGATTCAGGGTAGGCTGCCTGCTACATTTGAAGATGAGTCAGAAAACTGGAGCCCCAGCTCTTCACCCCAGGTTTGGATCTGAGGTTTTTTGAGACAGATTCATTGTTTTCTCTGGAGAAATTAAGGCCCTTGCAGGCTTCCCTGTAGAGCTAAGGAACTAGCCCTCCTACTGGGCAGTATGCAAGCCTCATCTCATAGAAGCTGCCCTTGGGGTGGTAGCCCCAGAATGACAGGGCCATTTTTACTAGCCTCTAGACCCATGGAAAAACTGGTAGGAGTTCTGCTGTGGAGTGGCTCCAGACCTGTTGACCTAGCCCTTTAGAGATGCATGAGAGACCTGCTTAGGGCTGGGTGAGAAGCATCTTTAGAAGGCCTCACTGGGAAGACTTGAGGGCCTGGGCTCAGCCTTGACTTCTTGTGGGTGATTTTTAGGCATGGGACTGCATCCTTCTGATGGGATACAGACACCCCTTCAGCTTGGAGGGGCTTCCTCTGTTGCTCTCCAGTGGGAGGACTAATTGTAACTACCTCAAGATTCCTTTCTCCTGAGGATACTAAAACTTAGGTGTGAGTTCCAGGTGACAAAGCACACTCAGAGTTAGATTAATTTTTCTACGGTATTTGGGCCTGCTAAGGAACTAGGTGGGCACAGGGGCTCCAAGAATTTCTGGAACAGCCATTCATGGGGAACTGAAATGCCGCTAGGCTCAGGGAATTGTCACAGTAGCAGTGCTGGGGGGTTGCCTCTGCCTGCGTTAGGATCTCTGCCTGGCAGATGGAGTTTATTCATTTTCTCCTTGTCCTCCTGGGTGTATATCAGAGTTTTGGGGGATCCAGGATAGTAGGCCATCCACTTGAGTCCAAGAAATGTGAGTTGAAGTTTTGATGGCATCCTCATTTTTCCTTCCTGTGTAGAATTTGAGAGCAGTAGAAAGGACCTTGGAGAGCCTATTTAAAAATACATTTTTGTGTCAGGCATGATGGTCCACACATGTAATCTCAGCACTAAAGAGGCTAAGGCAGGAGGATTAACATGAGTTTGAGGCCATTCTAGGCTACCTAATGAGTTGAAGGCCAGCCCAAACTACAGAGCAGACCGTGATTCAAAACCAAAACAAGTTCCAGGCTGGCGTGGCAAGACCTTGTCTCAGAAAAACAAAAGTAAAACATATTTTTCAGCTAGTGGGATTCTAAGAGGGATTGCAGCTCTGCCCAGTTGGCTGACTCCCCTCTCCAGGGTGCTACACCCCACCTGGTCACTCCTGCATATGTTTTCTAGTCACCCAACTTCGCTCTTGGCAGACATTTTTACTGCCTTTTCAATTTTTGTTTTCATTTTGAATTTCACCATGCTAAGCTAGTTGGTGCCATTTCATTCCTAGTTTTTAGTGTGGCATTCGACTTAACTGCTATACCCATTATTTTACTGCTTCTTGATTTCTGGAGCTTTCTCCTCAGGGTCCAGGAATTTATGTAATTAGCTTTTTTTTTTGGTCTTATATCCTTGCCTTTTTTTTTTTTTTTTTTCCTTTTGGAGGCCATCATTTTGTGCTCTGTGTACCCTTTGTTCAGCCTGGAATCTGCTTGACCCCTGGCTTTTCCATTAACAGAAAGAAAGTGGTCCATCCCAACATAATTGAGAAACTTTATTTGTATTCCCTGACAGGACAGGTGTTCTCCCAGCAGAAAGTTCTTCACTCCTGTCCAGATGTGCCATGGTCAGCAGCTCCCTGTGGCACTCTCTGTCCTTTGTTTTCAGTGTTTATTATTTTCTTCATCTGTGCTAAGGATTGAATCCAGGGCCTTCAGACTGAGCTCCTGCTGTCTCAGGGTCCCAGAATGCTAGAAGTATAGGCATGTGCCACTGTATCCGGCTTGTTCAGTGTTCTTCATCCTTTCATTATATTGATGTTGTACTGTTCTGTTCATGAGGGGGTGGTGAAGATTGACTTCTTTTAGTAGATGTTTGGAGTTCATACTGTTCACATTCCTTAGGTGGAGTTGGTATGTGTATGGAACATCTTAATTCCTTTTTTATTCCCTTGATCATCCTTTAAATTTTAGTTTCTTTTTTGGTACTGGGGATTGAACTCACAACCTCACGCTTGCCAGGCAGGCGCTTAATCCACTGAGCTAAATCCCCAGCCTAAATTTCAGTTTCTTAATGTTAGATGCAAATTGATACACAATGCTTTTTAAAAATTAACGACTTTTATGCTGTTGCTGCAAAATCTCATTCTACTGCATTTATTCCTTAGCATATGAAAAGCATAACCACATATCATGATTATATCCAATAAAACTAGTAATGTTTTTAATATCATGCAGTGCTAGTCAGGAGATTTGGATCTATAAGCCAGATCTTCTGTCTCCCAGTGTTGTGTTTCTTCCACTATGTTTTCCATTGAGTTCCGTTCTTTTCATGTTTTTTTAAAAAATATACCTGATGTAGAATCTTACTGTATCATAGGATAGTTCCCTTTTTGATCTTTTGAGACCTGCCTCATTCTGCTTTCCATAGATAGCAGTTCCACTGTTTTGTAATCTCACCAGCAGCTCCTAAGTGCTTTCTCTACATCCTTGCCAACACTTGCTACTTTATGTTCTGGTTTTCTTTTTCAACTATTTTATGATGGCTATACTAATACGTGTGAGGTAGTACCTTGTGATTTGGTATGGTGAGTGATGTGTTCAGCATTTTCTCCTGTGCTCGTTGGCTATTTGTTACTACCTTTGGAGAAAATGTCTGTTCAAATCCTTTGTGCTTTTAAAAATAAGTTTATTTGATGTTTTTGTTGTCATTGTGGAGATGAAGGTGTTCTTTATATATTCTGAGCATTGATTCCTTAACAGGTAGATGATTTGCAGATACGTTCTTGAATAATGTAGGTTCCCTTTTCACTCTTATTTGTGTTTTTTGATGCATAAGGATTTTTAAGTCTGATTTCCTATTCATTTATCTATATTTCTTTCTTTTTAAAATAGTACTAGGGATTTGGCTTCTTTCCTCAGCTTCCTGAGTTGCTGGGATGGTAGGAATGTGTCACCTGGCCCAGTTTATGTTTCTTTTTTTTCTGTGCCTTTGACACCACCTGTAAGAAATCATTTCCAAACACAATGTAATGAATATTTTCCTTATGTTTTCTTTTAGGAGTTTTGTAATTTTGAGTAAAACATCTTTAATCTACTCTGGATTTCTGTGTTTGTGCACATGCATGACAGAGAGAGAGACAGAGAGAGTGTGTGTGTGTATTGCTAAGGATGGAACTTTGGGCTTGTGCCAATTAGGCAGAGTGTTCTGCT